TTAAATTACCATAGATTATATTATCACGTACTGATATCTACATGTTATATGTAATACCACACGTTGAGATTGCAACCTGTTATATCACCACGCGTTATAATACGACCTTCAGTATCCTCTTTCACCCTGTCATTCTAATTTTAATGATATTCGATATTCCTTTTCCGTTATTACGTAATTTGGAAAGTAGTTAAATTTTTATTTGAAATGTAATTTTAGTTATCAGCAAATCATTTCAAAGAAGTTTCGTTTGAAACTTGTTCGTCGAAATCTATTTTGGTTAGCTTTATATGTAGCGAAGGTTGCCGCTGGAGGGAAACCAAATTTGGGGCCGGATGTTGTTGGTACACAGCAGTTTGTCGAAACGGAGGGTGCCGTGATCTTACGAGGTTGAAGAAGGACGTAGGTAGAGAGTAACCATCAAACGACCCACGTGCTACCTGCTGCGAGCAAAAACAAGTGGGCGATTTCAGTATGCAAATTCGTTGCCAGATTTATCCTGTCTGCCTCCTCCAAATGATTCGCGAAGACACGTGACGATTTACTTATTACCATACATTCAAATGGATTTCGTGCAAGCATTATTAATTGATTTCATAAATCAACGGGAATACTATCAAGCATAGTATCAAATCAAAAATAATAACGCGTCAAATTGTAATTGAAATATGATTTATTGCACAGTCTAACACAAACCATTTCGTATAACAACAAATTATCTAACCACTTTTATTCATAAGTAATTGTATACAAAGCTAAATTTACAATATAGAATATCAAGTTATGATTAGAACGTGTTTTGAGTGTAAAATAAAAATGAGTTCATGTAGTAATTAACAACAAATTACCTAATTTACTTTTAATCCTTAATGACAAATCAATCAATTAACAAGCAGTCATGTAATCTTAGTGACGATAATTTTGTTCCATTAATTAATCTGGCATTTTTGTAAGTATGTTAACGTAAGCACTCGTCAATGAAGCGTAACTTTTTGACCGTGTAAGAAAGCGATTGATAATCGGGAGGACGACGAGGAAGAAACCTAGCAAGGTCAACTTGACCCTCGCTGGTAATCGGCTTAAAACGCCTTAACAATTTCACGTAGATATACGGATATAAATACGTGAATACTTTTGTAAAACTGGCCTGGTAAGTTGAATTTATGAACGTCTTTTAGAGACGCCGTTTACGAACCCTTTTTTCTTCGTCGCCTTTCCATCGCGTTAAAAGACCGCAACTTTTGTTGCACCTTCCAGGATTACGATCAAATCTGGGATATTTACGATAGTACATCCTACTTTGGAATAGCTTGCACGTTTATATTTTAACGAAATAATTCTTAAAATGTATATAATGGAACTGGAAATAGCTGAGATACGTTTCTAAGCCACATCTTCCTAACTGTTTATGCTCCGATGCAGATATTCGCTGTTAGATTGGCCTCGTTTCAACAATGTTGCAGTCTTTCTTTCCTCGTTTAAGATTTGGTCGCGGTCGGAAATTGAAAGTTTCAGAAAGCATTTAGTGTTAGATTTTCTTTATTCTATCGGTGTTGATTTTTTACTTTTCTTCTTGGACTGTCATTGATAAACATCGTGAAATCTAAAGTAGAATGGGGCAACAATCTTTGAATTGTTTCTTCAAGTTTTCCTTCGAAACGTTGATATTTGATTCCCGAACAGTTAGATAGTAATCTACAAGGCTTACACGTAGGTGCACCCACAGTAGGCTCTTGGTTAAATGTAAGAATAAGATATACAACCCAACTACATTTGCTTTAGGTTTTGGAAACATCTTGGAAATGCTTATTAGGAATTTTGACTGAATTTAAACAATATTTTCGAAAAATATAAGAGTGAGGAAACAATAAATAATTTTAGAGATATCGCCGGTAAAACTGGAGCGATGTAAGAAAATCTAAGGAGGCTCTGTCTAGTGAGATTTTACGGATACTTCGTGTCATCTCTTGTAATTTTATATTTTGTTGGGAACGGCAAAAGACTAATAGAACCGTCAAAATCCAAAATTCCCAAGAATAGTTGAGGAATCCCAGGGAGAGCCAGGGAGAGCCAAGAGAAGATAGGGATGACATGTAACATTTCAAGAGGGTCCAGGAGCGTTTAAATGAAAGGTGGTAATGGCAAAAGACGGATACAGTCGACAGAACCCGTGGAAACCCAAGAAAACCCAAGCAGAACGAGGGAGAGCCAGGGAGAGCCACAGAGGTCTAGAGAGAGCCAGGGAGATCCAAACAGGTTTCAGCGGGATTCTAAGGAAAGCTAACAGCCGCAAAAGGCGATTACAACGTGCAGAACCCATGAAAACCCAAATGAGCCAAGTAAAATCAGAACAAGCCAGGAAGAGGGAGATCCAGTAAGATTCAGCAATATCCCAGTAAAATTCAGGGAGTTAAACTGTTTTGAAGCAAAAGGTTATTAGAGTATATAAAACATCCAAAAAATCTAAGAAAACCCAGGAAGAACCAGGCCAATAAAAGGTCAAAGCGAATCTAACGGGATCCTACGGAGAATGAGAATAGCAAAAGACTATTAGAGCAAAACTTAAAAAAAGCCAAAATATATGCATAACCAAACGTAGAACCTTCTATGATTACTCATGAACAAAATTTACTCGTATAATTTTAATAAAGTCCGCGTGTTTGGAGAAATGTTGTGCATAGATTCCCTGTTACTCGGTGTTCGATACACGCACGATACAAACCGTTCGCGAGCACATACATATCACAGAGGTCACGGTGAACGATCGGTCGACTGGCATGGTCAGAAAGCACAACGGAACACCGTAACTCACGTTTACGCCTGTAAAATGAGCATACATACCGCGTCACTTATTGCTAACTAATATAAACTTGACTCCGCGACACCCACGGGGATAAAGAAAGCGTATGGACCACTCGTAAATCATGGCCGCTTTACATTTTACTCGTGTTACGCCTTGTTACAACGGTCTATCTGCTGAACGCGAGCCGAGCTTGATAATTGAGAGAATTGACGGAAAAACGCTCGACATGGCGTTTCCTCTAGAGATCAAACTCCTTGAACCGTGAAACGTTTCGTAACGCGTTGTGTTTCAAAAAAGCAAGCGGCTCAAAAGCGCGTTTCCTGTGTTACCGTTTTTCTGCCACGAAATTCGTGTGACGTGACGGGTATTAACGGATGAGCAACAAGCTGTGCTGAAATGGCTGAGAGATTCGCGTAGAAAACACAACGACGGTTTTTAACGTGGAAATAGTAAAGGGGTAGAAGATAGAAAAGAAAAAAGGGACGTTGAAAGCAGACGAGCAACACAGCTTTTCGAGGGTCTCCTCCTAGATTTTCGCAGAGATGCGCTCAGCTCGAAGTGCAATCGTAATTAACCGCTTTTCAGTGTCTCTCTCGCATGGAAGACACGAGCTTGCATAAGTAAGTGGGCAAAAGGAATGTGTCAAGCTTACTTTCTGAGTTTCTCTCGCAATTTTTCGCCTCTGACGACGGCGAATCGTCTCTTAATTCCGGACACGTTGAAAAGAAACTGGAATAATCCATGTTTAGATTACAAGAATTATTATTTTTAATAAATGAGAGGTTGCTAGCGTATAACAGTATGAAAAGTTAGCTTTCATTTTGAGTATATTCCAGTCTCTCGTTATATTGCCATAAATGAAAATTTTTTACATTTTACTAAGAAAATCCAGGTTCTCTTAAGTAAAGATTCTTTTATTTTTCATGTATAAAAAATATATAAGTATATAAATATATTCCAGTCTCTCATTATATTTCCATAAATGAAAATTTTTCACATTTTACTAAGAAAATCCGGGTTCCCTTAAGTACAGGTTCTTTTATTTTTTCACGTACAAGAAGTATATAAATAGTTATATATAAGTATATAAAAAAGCATATATACTCATTATATTGCCCTTACATGGATTTTCATATATTCGGTGACGTTCACCTATCATCATAACGCGAAGATCCGCGAAACCTGTTATGAACCGATATCTACAGTAAATTCTCGTTACTTTGCCTCCATACGAACATCCATAACCATACTGGTGCTCACCCACTGACATAATACATAGAGATTCCCAGAAAACGTAATATCAACCCAAATCCGATATTTTGTAAATTCCAAGAATTTTTTACTCTTATAATCCTGGTGATATAGCAAGAGTATTGTAGAGACAGGTTTGATAGAGTGTTTAATAGAATAAACTCTTGTTATATTGCCACTGATGAGAATCGCTGCAAATATCCGAGGATCAACATTTCCTCGCTGTCGCAATGCACAAATATTTATAAATATTTACGAAGATCGACGAAAGTTCACGGAGATTCACGAAGGCGCAGGCGTTCATGGCAATATAATGAGAGTTTACTATACAAAGCACTCTTACAAATCTAACCAAAGTATTAAAATAATTTTTAATTTTATAGAATAATTTTTAATTGTTTTGAAATAATTTTTTATTATATAATAATTTTTATTTGCTTTCATAAAATAATTTAGTTTCATTTCCAAGCAGGATTGCAATTTTTTAAATGACATATAGGATAATTATCTACGTATTTAGCATAGTCCTTATAGAACTAATAATCTTTAAATATTTTTCAAAATTTATCGTATACAATTAACAATTTGTATTATATGTATTAAAATTCTAAGTTTAGTAAATAAATAAATTAATAAAGAAAACATGTAGAAAAATCAACTATAACAAATTTTTTAACAATTGTAATAATAAATATTCAAAATGGACTGTATACTGAAGTTTAGTGGACTTTTATTATATTGCCACCTTCAATCACTAATACCAGTAGCGCTCTCCAAGCGCTGTATAATTCTAAAAATAATTCTGTTGTTATAACCTCGTTGATGACGATATAACAAGAGTCTACTGTATTTTTGGAATTATACCGTCGGAAATAACTCGTAATACCAATTAATTGTCGTATCTTTTCAACTAACCATTCCTAATGTCGCATGTTGTGTGTTGCAGCGTGTGACTGTCACCCAATTGGAGCTTCCGGAAAAACTTGTAACCAAAGTACCGGCCAATGTCCCTGTAAAGACGGCGTAACCGGTACAACTTGTAACAGATGTGCCAGAGGTTACCAACAAAGTAGATCTCACATTGCACCTTGCATTAGTAAGTATCATTAATTCTCTAAACTCTATAAAAACCGGCGTAATCTCCTTCTTTCTTATCTATCATTTCCTTGTCTCTTAGATAAATTATACAGTATTTACATTTTTAGAGAACTACAGTAGACTCCCGTTATATTGCCGCCTTCAACTAAACCTTCCCACTAAAACACTTTTGTCTTTGATTTTCCTACTAATACGAAACATCTGAATTTTTAATAAACTCACAAAATAAGGATACTACTAGTCTATAAAAATGGCAATATAGGAAGAGTCTATTGTACTTAAATATTAGACTAAGATCTAATTATATTATTATAGTTACGACAGGTGTTACTGTATAGCAGTTATAATTCCACAAAATGAGATTTCTTTTGATGGTGATAAATTAACAAATATAAAAATATTCTACTATTTCAACTGGTTATGGTAGAAATCTTGTTAATAGTTCTAGTGTTAAAAAAAAATGTTGCTTCACTTTTGAATCGACCTGTATCCAGCTAAAGAGCTCGAACGTTCCATTAACAGTGTCTGGCAAAAAGAGGAGAAGAGCACGAAATATATCGATGCCTTGACCGTCTTGTTTTTGAAAGCGATCGATCGATCAATCGAAAGGTACACGCGATCGGGCGAGAGCCGATCACGTTATCGCAGGATCGCGCGTCCAATTAGGCGAAATTTGCAAATATGAAAGGGGTAACCGTTGTAGCCTTTTAGAAGAGATATACGAGCCGTATTTATCGTAACTTCTCATCCGTTTGTTTTCGCTGCTTACAGAAATACCGAGGGTTGTGCAGACCCAAGGTACGGCCGGTGAAGAGAGCGGAGAACACGAAGACGACGACGACGAACGTGGTTACGATGGACGAGCCGGTAAGTAAATGTCAAGTAAAACAAAATGACACCTCTTACAGAGCTGCTTGTCGGCCTGTCCGTACTTAAAGTGCTGTAGGACATCACACCACCATTAGAGTATGCTGCTCTTTAAGAACTTACGTTCGGTTAGGCTCATTTGCGAGATTTACAAAATGGGTAGTTTTCATTTTTATGGGGATGTTGCAATTTTACAACTTTGTACATTTCTTTAATTTGATAAATTTAAATGTTTGTGATTTACTAAAGTACACGTTGTCGTATTGCACATTTGTAAATTAGTTAATTTTGTGATTTACAAATTTATGAATTATAAAATTCTATAATGTAGTAATTTACTTATTAAATTCTGTAACTTGCAAATTTAAAAAATACCAAATTTTGTAATTTACACATTGACAGCCACGTCTCCCATGCATATGATTTCTGTACTGATCTAACATGAACAGTTGGCAATTGAACAAATGAATAATTTCCTGGGGAGGAAATTTGAAAGGTAGATGCTATAGCTACTCATATTGCATACCTTGAATAAAGCATTATTTCATTTTCCTAAATTTAAAAAAATCAAGAGTTATTACCCGGCCCAGCTGGTAAACAAGTATCATCCAAATGTTAGCCTCACGACAATACGCGTTTGTCAAAATATGCGAAAAGCGATGAAACGTTTGCGGTAATGGGGAAAGGAATTTCGTTGATTTATTCGCACAAGCAGAAGTGGTTGGCAACACGTGTGGGAAAATCCGGGGTAGGCAGGAAGTTTATTCGGATACAAGCTCCCTAGCCACGTGGCAATATGGAATGTAAGCACAATATTAATTCGGCAGACGAAGAGGGAAAAGGAGGGAAGGGAGGGAATAGAGGGTTGGAATGTCTAGCCGGTTGGTCGCAGCCTCTCAGCCACCCTAATGGCTTAATTAAAACTACCCTCACTTGCAGCTTGCCCATTTGCCTCGGAGTTTCCAACGGCCTACTTGTACCACTGTACGAGCAGAAACTTGACGGTTTTTATTTACACATGTGTACACGCTAATAAATCACCTGGGTGCCATCAAATCACTTCGCGTTACCGTTTATCTCGATTACTTGCTTTTTTGGGGGGGTTTATTTTAATTGATACGGTACTTGATGTTTGTTGGACTGGATAAAATAATATATGAGAATGTTTGAGTGCAGTGAGGAGTTCTGTTGAATGAGGATGGATGAACTTGTTAATTTTGAAATTATTGTATTTTGGTAGTTTGCAACTTTGTAAATTTTAACTTCAAGTTTAAGCATTTGTTTTCATTTCTAAATTCCTATATTCTTGGATTCCTAAATACTGAGGTCATCAAATACGTAAAAATGTCTACACTGCCAAATTCTTGTTCTCCAACGTTTCTAGATCTCCAAATGCCTGGATCACAGTATTCTTAAGTTCCCAGATACCAGGGTCATCAAACAGTATCTTCAGAATTTTTATATTGCCAAATAAATTCATATATTCTCCAATACGTACATCCCCAAATACATACGTCCCCAAATCCCTGTATTCTCAAATACCTATATCCCCAAATTACTACATTCCCAAATTTCTATATTTTCAAATACCTACATCTCCAAATCACTACATTTCCAAATTCTTACATTTTCGAATTTCTACATCCCCAAATTACTACATTCCCAAATCTCTATATTTTCAAATACCTACATCTCCAAATCACTACATTTCCAAATTCTTACATTCTCTAATTTCTACATCCCCAAATGTCTACATTCCCAAATTCCTATATTTCCAAATCTCTACATTCTCAAATACCAAAGTCCCCAAATCTCTACATTCCCAAATACCAACGTCCCCAAATCCCTATATTCTCAAATACCTACATCCCCAAATTCTTATATTCCCAAATACCTACATTCTCAAATCCCTAATCCCCAAATCCCTATTCTTCAAATTTCTACATCCAAAATCCCTATATTTCTCAATATCTACGTTCCCACACTTCAAGACCACCAAATAGGTCCCTAAATTACAAAATCCCCTTTCTATACTCCTAAAACTAATCTCTCAAATTTGAAGACAAAATATCACTATTAATATATATAAGAACACCATATATACATACCACATATACGTACATTACAATTTACATAAATTACATAAATTTACATAAATTATGAATCACAAATTATTTACAAAAAACAAATACTCTATATTAAATCTTTAGACTAATTTTTCAACAATAACCTACAAATATTTTATCACCAATTTCCAATGAAATATTGCTACCTATATATTTTAACCTAAAAAGAATGTAAACCTAACCTATAAAACGTAGACCTTCTTCAGTTGTCGTTAACAAGCATAACCTATGAGTATCGTTATCAAAAGGAACACGTTTGTACGTAACAACTATAAATAACTAAGACATTACTCTGTTCATAGACACGTTCAACGGTGGGATCGAGTATCATATCATTGCCGTAAGGTTTCAGTTACTTCTACTATTACATATTACTATCTGGACGCAATAATTTGCAGATAAGACGAGCTTAGCTTCAAAGGAACAGATACAGTCATTGTTGTTGATGAATGAACCACTTCCCTCAAACACGACCCACCTTCACGATTAACATCGTTATTAAGGGAGGAACAAAGGACCTGTGTGGACGGAGAACAATTTGTAATTTTTTGGAACATGATAGCTGTATTTATTAATGATAGAGTCATCATTCAAAAATGTTCACGTTCGAATAGGTTAATAGAGATAAAACGGTGTTTCCTGCGAGTTTGTTCTAAGTAGGATTATTTTGTGGGGATACTTAAAGTATTTATTTGGTACCTCACTAAATTTCTAACTTCTATTTCTGAATTACCAAATTTCTAATTTTACGAATTTTTAATTTTATAAATTTTCAAATTCCAAATATTGAAATGTTTAATTATTCAAATTCCCAGGAATTTTAATTTGTGGTTTCTGGTGTCAAATTCCTGAATTTCAAAAGCCTGAAATTTCCAAGTTGATAAATTCCCAAATTCTAAAATTAACATATTCCATAATTCTCAATTTCTCGAATTCTAAATATCCAAACATCTAATCTTCTACTTTTTTACTTTCTAAATTTTCAACTTTCTAGATTTCTAAATTTCCAAATTCCAAAATTACTAATTTTCCTAAATTACGTCTTACGTTATCAAATTGCTGAGGTGCCATATTCCTAGATGGCCAAATACCTAGATGTCCATACTTACAATTAGACTACTCCAGACCCCAAGATCCTAAGTTCCCAAATCTCAGATTCTTGAAATCCAAATATTCCCAAATACTTATGTCTTGAAACTCCTATGCTCCCAAATCCCTAAATCCCCAAATTCCTATATTACCAAATTTCTGAGGCTCCAAATTCCTAAACGGTCAAATACCTAGATCCCCCTATTCGGAACACCCCAGACTCCAAAATCGTTTGATATTTTTTCACCTTGAAATTCCTAGATTTCCAAATCCAAACGTCCCCAAATACTTATGTCTTGAAACTCCTATGATCCCAAATCCCTAAATCTCCAAATTCCTATATTACTAAATTTCTGAGGCTCCAAATTCCTAAACGGTCAAACACCTAGATCCTGCTATTCAAAATACCCCAGACTCCAAAATCGTTTGATATTTTTTCACCTTAAAATTCCTAGATTTCCAAATTCAAACGTCCCCAAATACTTATGTCGTGGAACTCCTATGCTCTCAAATCCCTAAATCCCCAAATTTCCACGCTACTAAATTTCTAGGGCCTTTATTCCTATATTGTGCAATACCTAGATCTCCATATTCACAATACTCCAGATCCCAAAATCCCCTGTGATTTCTTCGTCTTAAAATTGCTAGATTTCTATATCTAAAGTTCTCCAAATCCAAGCGTCACCAACTTCCTATGATTTCAGATCCATAGATACCTAAATGCCTACGTTATAAAATTCCTAGAACCTCATATTCCTAAATGGTCCAAAACCTAGATTTCGCAACAACGCAGATCCCAAAATCCTCTCTAATTTTTTCACATTCAAATTCCTATATTTCCAAATCTCAAATTCTTCAAATTCAACTATCCCTAAATGTCCCATAAAATATATATTGAAATTCTTATACTCCTAAATACCTAAATCCACAAATTTCTGTGTCCCTGAATTCCTAGATGTACCCCCAAATATCCCATAAAATATATCTTGAAATTCCTACACTACAAAATACTTACATGCCCAAATTTCTGTGTCCTTGAATTCCTATATATTGAAATTACAAAACCACCCTAAAAGCCATTTTATATTCACATCCCGAAATCCTAACCTCAGAAACGCGCTCCCTCTTTTCAATTTTAATGTTCCATTCTGTCCTTCTCCCTCTGTCGTTTATACGATACTTTCCCTTTCGCTTTTCTAACCCTCTTTCTGCCGTTTTAGGCTCTTTATCCTCCCTCTTCTCTTCCCGTTGCACCATCAAGAAGGGTTGTACCCAAGTTATTATTATTTCGCCGCGAATATACGCGCGTACAGAGCCCGTTTAATGGATTGACGTTTACTTCCACGCACTTTCGCCTTCACGTGTACACTCGGATGCAACGATTGCGATTAGCACGCCTCTGTATTTGCCACTTTTTAGATTCGTAATCATCCATATTCGCAGACTTTTATGTCTTCAAATTTATAGATTGACAAATTCATAAGAAAGTTTCGGATTTTTATAGTTTGGGACTTTTAGACTTTGGAATTTTGAAATTTCTGGACTGACAAATTCATAAGAAATTTTCAGGTTTTTATACTTTGAGAATTTGGAATTTCGGAATTTTGAAATTTTGAGAGTTCTGAAATTTGGAAATCTGAAGTTTTGAAAATTTTCGAAATTGAAACTTTGGAATTCGAAATTTTAAAAATTCGGTATTTTGGAATTCGCAATTTAGGAATTGAAACATCCTTAGATACCCTTCATGTCTCGGGCTTAAGTTCCCAAATTCTCGCGTTCGCAAAT